GCTACATTGTAGCCACAGCCACCCTGGGGCGCACTGACAGAGGCGAAGCTGCCGGACACTGGCGCCACCGGGCCCTCTGACCACCACCAGTAGGCAAACATGGGTTAGCATTTTGCCCAAGGATATTCGCTATGCAGCCAGGAGGCAGCCTGGGATTGAACCACCTTTACCTGCTAGCAGTTGCTGTGTCCGAATTCAGGGGAAGGACGCTCATAAGGACACTAACTACCTACGTCACAAGGTAGTGTCCTTAGACGGACGGGTAGTCAGGAAGTGAGCGGCTGTGGGCAGCCCCCTTTTTTTCTCCATAGAAACTTTATTAAGATAAGATAACTCTTTATTGTCATTGCACAGTCATACATAGTACAGTAGTACAATGAAATTGGAACAAACAATGAGTATCCAACATAACAGATGGGCTGTGGACAGCCTCCTAGTCTTCAACTCCGCCCTTACTTACGTGTTTTTCCCGTCGCTAGCGCCACAGCACGAAAACTTTAAAATGGACCCAGAAATGTTGTTTGGACAATTTTAATTCTCGAGGAGCTAGAAAAACCTTATCGTCGTCGCCCGCACGTTTTGTACCTTAGGCTCATCAGAGACAATCATGTCCAGGTAAAATAATGTCCTTTAATCTACACGCATTTAGGAATTACTCAGCTAATTACACGATAATTGAATTATTACCGGCGTTGTGCCAAAAAGTGTTCGCCTGTCAAAACTGATTTCCAATGTTTCCAAGTGTAATATGTGTAATATCTTTATGTATGTTGGTAAATAGACTTCGGTGAACATGGTTTACAAAGGAGTTTTATATATACAATAATTACCTGTTGTTCAAGTATCTTTATAACTCTGGTTCTAATGTAGGTACAATTGATATATTTGTTTTGCTGTCTGCTGTCCTCTGGGCCAGATTACTCTTAAAAAATAAATTTCTAATGTCAACAAGATTGTTTGTGAACTGGATAAATAAAGGATAAAAGTCACTGCCAAAAACTGGTTGCAGCTCCTACCTGTTCCAGGAATGTTGCTGGTTGCTCAAAGTGACCTGATATCATTAATGAGGGAAACATTTGACATGTTTCACATATTATAAAACAACAAGTTATTCATAGCAGGTTAAATACGAGCAATCAGTTTAGGGCAAAAACCGGAAATCAGTTTTTGGCAGACGATCATTTTTTGGCACAACATCGGTCATTCTTACACATGTACTGTGTCATATAACATATATAAACTAAATATCTTTGAAACGTATAGAATCTAATCTTTTGTTTGTTTTTACACAGCACTTTATCAAACTGTTGTCTGCTACAGAGTTACAAGTATTATACTAATAATACAGCACCCACCATCTCCTGCTTGCATATTTCTGAAAACATCTGAGTGGTGTGGCAGCCACGAGTGAGCCCTGCAAACCCTGTGGATGGACGATGCAGTGGACAGTGGGAGGATCCTAAAGCTCTTTGCAGACCACCCTGTGTGATTCTCCACTCGCTGACCAGAAAAGACAAACCGCAGGTCTCAGTTGCAGCACCATCCACGTCTGATCTTCAGCAACACTGCCAGAGACTTCCTGTAATCTATTACAGTTGTAAAAGAAACGGTCCAGGACCAGGTCACTCAGCTTAATCCTGTGTGAACAACTGTAAATATTGTTTTTTCATCTTTACTGTGTATTTGAAATATTCTTGTTTAATTGTTTTTGTTATTTATTTATTGCTATCAAATAAATATCCAAGTAATATTGTTCAAAGTTATGTTCATAAATCAAATTGAGTTCAGTGACAATTACTGTTTGTTTGAATCAATTTATTAATACCATAAAACCTTCAAACCAATGCAACACATAAGAAATATATTCAAATAAACACATTTCTCAGTACGTAACTCATTTGGGAACTGATCTTTCTAGAAGTGAAACAGTCAGTCCATCCTCTCCCTGCTCTCCTCTCCTCTCTTTGCTGCCTCATGTCCTCTCTGATGAGGTCTAGCAGCTCATCATCTTCTCCTCTTCCTCCCTGTCGTAGGTGGCTGAGCCACTTCGTCATCGCTGTCGTTTTGGTCACCCACTGCTGTGCTTGGCCCTGGGGTGTCCTCGGGGAGAGAGGACATTAGGACAGGAGGCTTAGTGGAAGGCATCTGTCCTATCACCTCATCCGTGAGGGCAAACCAGGGCCAAGCACAGCAGTGGGCTTCCCACTGACCCCTCTCCTGAGCCTGGATACTCGCAATCCTAAAGGCAGAGGAAATCAAAGATGACAGCAGGCAAATAAAAACACCACAACAACTCTTAGTAGTTGCACATTTATTAACTTGTGTTCTTAAGAATCATCTTCTTGATAATACACAGACGTACTTTGTATTCTTTAAAGTTATCTCATGTCTTCTGGCCTGCAAGGGGGTGACTTTCAGACACCAGAGGAACGCCGTGTGGACATCACAGGTCAGCAGCGGTCCGTGAGTGGTGTGGTACCGGGCCACGGGAGTTGAGGCTCCGCTGTGAAATTTATGGTTTTCAGGGTTTGTATCGTTAACTCAGTTTCCCTGGGTCTTTCCCTTGTTGTAGTTGTGCGTCTTACTTTGAAAGAAATATTTACACGTTACCATAGTGACCAGAGAGCATTAAGCGGCAGAGAGGAGGACGTTACTCTCAATGTTGGCACATTTTCAGGAGGACGCTGCTAATAAAGTTACACAATTACTCAGTACATTCACGTTTATTATTATATTTACAAAATACCAGTTTTTGTCTTGGTCATTTTATGTGGTTGCATTCATCCGCGACACCTTAAAGGCTCCGTGTCTGTGGCGCAACAAAGGTTGGGGACCGCTGCTGTGCAGCATGAGGGTTAATAGGACCGCACTCATATGAATATGATGTGTACATTGATTTATTCTTGTACCTCCACGCCGTAGCGGCCCAATTCTTCACCCCAGTGAAGAGGTGATCGTTTTCTCGTTTTAATAAATTAAGCCGTTTGGTCTTTGTTCCCCACAACATGTCACCAATTCAAAAAATCTAAATGAGCTGTATCCATCCATCCATCCATTCGCTTCCGCTTATCCTTTTCAGGGTCGCGGGGGGCGCTGGAGCCTATCCCAGCTGTCATAGGGCGAAAGGCGGGGTACACCCTGGACAGGTCGCCAGTCTGTCGCAGGGCTAAATTAGCTGTATGTAAGTGGCATTACATGAAAAACCGCGGGACCCACAATACAAGCTGGTTTACGGTTATTTAAATAAAAGGAAGATGTCTCTGCAGATGCCCAAAGCTTAACAACACGGCCGCTACAACAATTTAACTTTTGTACAACCAGATTTTATATACTTACATTTGAAAGTGTTTTCCTCTTCGACCACCATCGTTATCAGGAACAAATCTCCTGTATGACCCGCAATGAATCCTGGGATATAGTAGGACACGAAGGATACATCGGACCCATCCTTAACATTTGGGTAAAAGTAGGACGCATTTGTCGCTCTTTGAATTCGGACAGCCTTCGTCGCGTTGCTGTGACGTCATTGCCTCCAAATATGGCATTTTGAGCATCCTTCCCCTGAAACACAGCGAGTGCCTCATGGTGAAAGCAGCCATTCATCTGACCTCAGTCTCTCCTTTCCTAATGACGATGTCCCTCCGTCTATTTTGATATGACGCTCCTCCACAGCTGTGCATGTCCTCTGACTGTGAGGCCTGGGTGCTAGATGTTACCAGATGCTGTTGTTGTTGCTGTGTGTTACTAGTTTTTGTTTTACCACAGGCACGAGTGTAACGATGGTCCTCCTCAGACCAGCTGCTGCTTCCTGTCACGATCAGCTGGTTCCAGGAGGAACGTTCCCTGAAATGCTTACAGAGCGTGTGTGAGACGTGCTGTTTTTATTGGTCCAGCAGCAGAAAATAAAACTGATTACATTTTGTACAAAAGTTTAAAAACATTCAGAAAAAGTCTCATCATCATCATCATCATCATCGTCGTCGGTCTGACTCGACTTCGGTCAGACCGCAGGAACATGTGACTGGAAGTCATGTGTGCTGGTGCTTTAGTAAATAGCCTCGTCCATGTTGTCATCGCTGTCGCCGCCAAAATCCTCGCCGTTATCAAAGTATGACATGATGTAATCCGTCTCCTGCGGCACCAAGAAAACATCAATTAGATCCTCAGAAAATCCACGAGATCAATCCCACGTTATTAACAGATTAAACCCAGATTGGTTTCTGACTGGCTGCACTTTAAACCAGTTAATTCCAGTTTAGAGCAGAAGACATCCTGCAGGTGTGAACAGGACGTCCCAGTGACATCACTGATGATGAGATTAACTACCTTTAGAGATTATCTGGGATTATTTGGTTACACCCTCGTTAGAGGAGCGTTTGAATAAACTGATCGATCTGGTCTCACCTCCTCGAACTCCTCTTCGTCATACTCCTCCTCTCCCTCTGCCTCCTCCTCCTCCTGCTTCTTCTTCGTCTCTCCCTCCTCGTCCTCTGACGTCTCCTGCTCCTCCTTCTTCTCCAGGCTCTGGCACAGTTAAGGTGGACTCGTTAGTTTAAGGTGGAACCAGCAGGAAGCCGAAAGTAAACTTGGATTAGAGCTGGGCGATAGAACGATAACGATATGTATCGCGATATAACTTTTACTCGATAGAGAAATTAAGCTATCGCGATAGACCTCGCCGCTCTTGTCCTCTTTAAAAAAAAAAA